CAAACGCTCTTGGAAAGCCCACCCAGAGCTTGATTTTTCTTGATCTAAGGGCCAGTTTACCCAGCTCTGCTTCTATAAAGAGGCTTTCAGGAGTCCTGTAAAAGCCGCCAGAGAGATTTTAGCCCCAGGTTCACATGGCAGCAGCATGTGAATTGCTGCAAATCTAGAGGACGATTCACCTCTCTCAGGTTCTGCTTTCTCTTCTGCAGATGTCCAGCTGGCACTGCTCTTGCTCTCTCTTCAATGACTGTGGAGAAGTTTGGGGCAATGGGTTTCCTAGTTGTGTGCTTGTCAGGTGGGGTGAACTCAGGCGAGAATGCCTGGTGCTGTGCTAGGATAGAAGGATTTGGGGCACCTTCACAATGCCCTTGTCTTTGCTGGACCTCAGTCATAAGAACAAGGTGGCCTGTGTGCATGGGAAGTGTTTACACCATCTCAGCAACCCATGGCTTGAGCGGGGACTTTGTCCCTTCCCATCACAGAGAAAGTGATCTTGAATGCCTTTCTCTCTTGTGTTTTTTCTTTTGTATTTTTACAAATTTTTCTGTTGTGTTTCTATAATACCACAGTTACAAAATTCTATATAGAGTGGAGAAAATCAATTTTGTCCATATATTTCCAAACATTGCCATAAGCCAATTTATTTTTAAAACCACTTAGATCTGTAGATATGGAATTATTATCTACACAAGTCCCATTCCCATCTCTGCCCCTGACTTAGTCTGTAAGCCTAGACCATACTTCTGTGTCACAGTTTCCACCACTCTAAGGGAAATGCAAAATTCACAAGTCGTTCATAAACATGCAATGACATCACTTGGTATTTTAAACCCCTACTTCTTGTCATTGCTGTAGCAGTGATGTGTGATTGTGATGGTGTGATTTACTGCAACCTCAAAACTGTCTGAAAAAAACGAAACACACAGAACTGTATCTACAGCCATTTGTTTGCGTTTTTTAAGCTACAGCTTTGCAGTGAGACCTCAATACCTTTTGGTTACATGAAGGGAAGCCATAGAGCTGAGAACTGCAGGTCAGCGCTCCGGGGGGGGGGGGGGGGGGAACACTACAGCCCAACCCTCTCTAGCTTATATATGCACTCAAACACAAACATCCTTTTTTCACTTTGCCACAGCTGGAAAATAAATAGCGTTAGTGTTTCAGAACATATATTTGGTTTCCACTTTCTCAGCTCCTTCCTGATTTCTTTGAGGAATCTCTGGTGTACCAATGGGGTGGCCATAGAAAACCAGGTTAGTGCACAGTAGAGGCTTTCATAGCCACTAATCTTGATGACAAAATTATTCGAACAAACACTTCTTGTGTCACCAATATATATTATGTAAAACCTTGTGACTTTGATTATGTGTCTATAAGACAGATTAGTCTGTTTGGGTGTTTGGTGCTGACCTCCAATAAGCTCCTAAAGTATTAGCAAGAATTTGCAAGTGACAGGCAGGCAGAGGTGCTGTTCTGCCTAATCCCATTCTTGAAACTCTGACTATATATGTTTGAACAGTTTCTGCTGCTTTATTTAAGGCGCTGGGTTATTTCTTTCTCTGTCTCCTCCCAACTCCCTTTGTCCTTCTCGCCACTGCTTTGATGTATCACAAATGTTGGAAGATTTAGCTAACCTTGTGGATTAGAGCCAGGAAGACAGCGAGAACAAATTTAGAATAGGAGGCAGAGAATGTACCAGCTGGAAGGTGATGCTGTCAATCTCCATGGAGACCTCTTTAGTTACAGCTTTGCTAATCACGCTGTTGAATTGTATAGCGTCTGCTTGAAAGCCCATCCAAGTCAATGGAGAGTTCCTAATTGACTCGTAGCTTAAACTGGCCGTGACTCAGGACCATGAAGAGTTTGCAGGGCATAGCCCCTAAATGTTGCTAGTTATGATTTGCATTTGTGGCATTTCCTTGATGGCCGAAACACAGCCTGAGGAGAAGCCAGGCCTTGATCCAGTCTTCTGCACTGGGGCCAGCTTCTCCTGAAGAAAAACACAGAAACAAATTTAGGCCTTGCCTCAGCAAAACACTTAGTTTTTTGCTTAGGAATGCCAGCAAACCATCTCCGTAGCCTTGTTGACAGCACACGCACTTCCCACAAGAGTCAGCTCGTGCTGAGATTTCGTGGGACCAGAACAACAGGAGCCTTTTGGCTCCTAACCCCCAGGAAATGGCAAGGGGCTAAGCAGGAGGCAACTGCACATATTTTTGAGTCTACCCTGTGTCACTAGGATGACCCTGTTTCATGGCTTGGGAGAGCCAGGTGAGGTACTACAGGCCTGGGCAGAGGGGACTGCAAACAGAGCCAGGAGAAAACGCTCAGAGGACCCTTGTCTGTTCAGTTGTTCTGTGTTCGGACATCTCTGAGTTCAGAGGGGTCTTTGGCTCACAGCTGGAGACCCTACCCATGACTGCAATACAAACAACAACAGCTCTCGGGGGAGAAGTTTGGATCCACATACTGCAATTCAAGCTTGTCGTTACTTGAGGCCAAACTGGCTTTAGACACTAATCCACTGAACAATTTCCAGTTGTTATCAAAATCTATTGGACTTCTTAACCACGAGTCCCTGAGCTGATGTACCACCCCCTTCAGGTTCCAATTCTCTGACTTATTTGTTCAGAAATGATTTATTTTTCCTACAAGTAGGAACAATGTTAAGTTGATAAATGAAAAAATCAGCTGCACACAGTGCCTGATTTTTAAAGGGATTTAGGGGCCTGAATAGATCCTTTTCCCACAGAAAACCATCCCCCAAACGTCAGCGACATTTTTTCAAACCTCCATCGATGGTCGCTCCATGCTGCGCGCAGGCTCAGCCATGTCTGTGTGTGTGCGCGCAGCAGCGTTTTTCAAAGCAGCTCACACCTCCTGCCGCCCCACAGTCGACGAAGTTGTGCGAGCCCTGCTTCAAGTCCAGCCCAGAAGTCCTACAGTGGATTTTCATTAACTGGGTGGGGGGGGACGCTGACGCACAGGGCAGCTGGGAGGAACATCTGAGATCCAACACCTATCTCAGCCTCCCAGAAGCTGGCCTAGACCACACCTGACGCAGACCTCTCAGAGGTGCAGACGCGAGCATGAGCAAAAATGAAGGGAAGGGGAAAGGACGACACAGTGAAACAGTGAACAGAAAACAGTGAGAGCAAAGAGAAATTTCTGTTACTGTTTCCGTCACTAGAATCTCTGCACTAGCTGACCGGGCTTTGCTGCCTAACTCCAAGAGAGCGTTCAGGGTTTATGCTCATAACCCAACCAGGTCAGTCATTGAGGTCCCTAAATCCCTCTCTTCTGCCATTCCTTCTCTTCCACATTTCCTGCCTGACTCACTCGGCCAGCTCTCTGCTCTGCTTTCTGCTGAAAAATCTCTTTTTCACACACTCAGCTTCCCCTCAGGTGCCTGCAGGGATGCTTGGCGAGGCCAAAAATCCACCGGACAGCTGGCTGTGCTGAGATTCAGGGATGCGCCGTGTGGCTGAGAGCTGCCCTGAAAGCCAACTCAGTGCAGGATTTTTTTATTTATCCCACAAGAATAGAGGAGGTACAGGAAGGGCCCCAGGCATGCTGACTCAGGTGCTCATCTAGCCTGACATCAGTCAGCTGGAAACTACCGGTTCAAAGCCCGTCATCCCGGGCTCCCTTGACAGGCGACAGAAGACAACGGGCATCTCCAGAGGAGGATTTGTCTGCGCTATTCTTAGGCGCCCACCCCAGATGAGATGAATCAGCCACTGGTGGTGCATGTTTCTTCCCACTGGCACAGAGTGAGTGCCGGATGACTCAGTCTTGGACTTGGTAAAGTAGAGCTTAGAATTTAACCTAGTTCTCCCAAAAACTCTCACATAGGGACGGCTACGGGGCCAGCACAAAAAAGGAGTATAACAGACACTGGTTCCTTCCTATGTTCTGGACTTCTTCCTCTGCTACCTCCTCCTCATTCAAACACTCAAGTGAGAGGCCCAACGTGAGCACCGTAAGTTAAGTTAAATGCTAGTTTAATACTGGGCTTGACTTTTAATTCATTCCACCTTCATTCTCCACCAGTCCTGCCATCTCCCTGAGTCTTAATGCTGTTAAGAGCTTTAAGTTTGTGTGTGTGTGTGTGTGTGTGTGTGTGTGTATCCTTTAAGTATATATGTTAAGGCTTCTGGCTACCCCTGAATCTTTTTTCTAATCTCCTTTCTTAAGTCCGGGGTTGGTTCAAATCATTAGAAACATTACTGTTGTTGGGTTGGGTGGGGATTAGGTGTTTCAAATACTACAATACAGCCACATCTACGTTCACTGTGTAAGTGGGAATAAAACAATCATAAGCCTCTAAAAAGATGTTTAATAATAATTTCAAATTACTGAGAACTTGCTTAAAGGAGATGGAGAATTAAACCTGAAATGCAAAGGGAGGGAAAGACTTCACAAGCATTAAAGCCCTGTTTTGCAGAATTTTGCAAAATATACACACAGACACCATGGTTTCTCCAAAAAAGGAGAGAAGAACCAATACAGAGGTTCAGTCACAGTCAGAAGCTTGCAGAAAGGCAGATATTAAAGCTTAACCAATACAAGCCATAAAACTTGTTCCCAGGACAAAGAACGGCCCAACTCTGCACAAGCCTCTCTCTTGTGCTTACTCTAAGCAGCAGCAGGGTGTCGAGGCGTGTAACGCCTGCGGCTGTGGCTCTGCAGAGCCACGCGTGGGTCAGCGCTCCTGCTGCTGCCCGGAGGCTCTGAGGACTTCTGGGGGATGCGGCTGCCTCTCCGGCGGGGAATACGAGGGGGCGCGGGTTCCTATAAAAACAAAATACCACTTGTTCGGGCTCCCCCAGCACACCCACACTCGCTGTGGCTCGGAGCAGCGGCTTGGCGTGTTACTGCTGAAGCCCAAGGAGGACATTTAGGAGGCAAATTTAGGAGGCAAATCGGCTGCTAGCTATTGTGCAGCTGGGCCACGAGCGCGCAGCACAGGGTGCAGTTCCCAGTGGCCTCCAAAGGCGATGGCCAGCGCTTTGCCAGCACCTGCATCTCTGCAAGCGTGGCCTGCCCTTCGCTCTGGCGCGCAGCGAGCTCGGGCAGACCCTGCTGCTCTCAGCAGGGAACCCGTATTTGCACGTGCCCCGCGCAGGCGTCAGCGGCCAGGCAGCGCGGGGGGCTTGCCAGGCGCGGGCACAGAGCCGGGGCCATATGGACAAGGGGAGAGACGGGGCAGAGGAAAGAATCTGTTCTCGACTTTGTTTATTTTTGCTGTGTGCAGCTGTAGTGGCAAGAAAGCGGGCAGCGGAGGGTATGCTAGGGCAGAGCTGGGCTGCGCTCAGGGCGCTCCAGAGCGCCAGGCGCACGGACGAAGGCTAATGGTGGCAGCTGGGGGGGCCGGGGGTGTTGAGGCAAGCAAACTCGCCACTAATCCTCTTCTACACAGTCCTTCTTGAGAGAGGAAATCTTATGACTGCAGGCAGAAGCACATTGTGTAACTAAGCAGTGGTGAACCCGAGTCGCATTTAGCAGGGCTTGGCACGAACACCGCAGAGCAGGCTACTCATCCCGAGAGAGCGCGAGCGCAACTGTCTCAGCGCATCCCCCGCTGACTTGGAGTCCTTAAAAGCCCTGATGGCCTGAGGAGAGCTCAAGGAGAAGTACAAGCAAGGCCCACAACCCTAAACAAACCAGATCGTTGAATGGGGCTTCCCTTCCCTTGGTGTTAAAACACTGCACAACGCCCCTGTGCGCGGTGCGGAGCTTTGAAAACTGAGCGTCTAAGCTGCACAGCAACACTATGGATGTGGTTAGAGAAAATGTAAAGGCATTTTACAATTATAGCAAGAAATGCAAAACTGAGCTTTGGTCTCTTCTTGCTGTTCCATTGTGACATCTAGTGGCACAGTGTATTTTTACTAATGAACTAGGATTTATGTTTCCTTTTTTTTTTTTTCCAGACCTACTCTTGCCGTCGTCTCCTGAATAGATTTTCCCCATTGGTCTCCGGAGAGGTCATGGGCTGTTTAGGAGGAGGACTACAGGCAGTTTTGTCCCCTCATCCTGTTGGATTTTTCCAGATCTAAGTAAGTTGGGATTGGTTAAAGCTTTCATAGTGCTAAAAGACTATTCTGTTTCCTAAACCGTGTCACCCCTTGTCTAAATTTGTGTACATTGTGTTTGCATTCTAAAACTTTATGCCGTGGATGCTAAAGACAGACAGTGATACGGGTTAAGAACTGTAATTATTCGAAAAGACAGATTTTACTGAAAAAGGGAAGTCAAAAAAAAGATTTAGATGACAGCAAAGTCCAGCTGAAGGTTGGACCCCTAGATTTGAATCTGCAGTTGTTGCTAAAACATTATGAGAAGAGGCTAAGTCGTCTTTGCAAACCATTCTCCAAATCAAATATACTGTGGTTCATATATCTGGTTCCTCCCTTGTGTGTTTCCGTAGGAGCTAGGCAAAATTTCTGCTGAGCCTGTTGGAGTCTGTTGCGTGAGAGAAAGGGCTTGCTCAAATGCATTGTGATCTGGTTAAAAAAAAAAAATGCCACTGAGTCACCGTGTAACCTTTGTCACGCTATTTTAGACATTTTTTAAATGTCATCTTTGCTTGCGCACGCTCCTCTTGAATTCATGGCGCTGATGGGGATGCCGAGATTTCACATACCCACAGGCTGTGGCCCATGGGAGACGCCAGACACATTGCTCACCTAGAGAAAGGGACAGGTCTAACCTCTCTGGGCATCGGTCGGTCTCTCTCCAGACTGATTACAATGAAAACGATCGTTCCTCTTTCTCTGTCTTTCGAAGCCTAATTTATATGGATGAATACTGGGGAACTGTTTGGCTGGTAAAATGCTGCAGGCGCCGACTCTGTTTTTTAACAGTTGTTGCAATTGTCCTAGCAGGCACACGGCAGTCGAAAGCAACAACACAAATCCTAAATTAAACAGCGGATTAAAGATAATGTTCCCAATCAGAAAAGTAAATAATAAAAAAAAAGAGAGATAATTACAAAGCTTAGAGCAAATCTCTCATTGGTGGCAGACGCCGATGCTAAAATAGAAACCCTTGTGTTAAAAAGAGTTCCCAAACACAGCGACTTAATTAAGAGAGTGAGCGACATGCCAGGGATATGACGGCTGGGAGCCAGCAGCGCGGCGCCGGGGACCTCCCCCGGCGCAG